ATAAGAAAATGATTTAAGACTACAAATGACTTTTTTTTTCTCGTTACGCGTGCGGCATGCCTAACTTGTGTGAATGTGTTATGTGAATACTGATTCCCCAGTCTGGGTGCTTTTTGATGGCATAATATTGCCCTTGACTGAAATTCATAACTGTTGTTCAATGAATGTCAATATGCAAAAATCTTTAAGAATATTTGATTAAATGCTGAATGTTGTGCTTGTTAAATTTAATAAAATTAAAACTTTAATTGAGATAAATAAAATAATTTAATATGAAATACTGAGTGGCCAAGTTTTGCTCATTTATTATTAATAGTATATATATATATAGGCTATATATATATATATATATATATATATATATATATATATATATATATATATATATATATATATAATTGCGCAGCTCCCCCTGTCAATGGTCTAGCACTCCCTCAGCACCTGCGTTAAAAATTATATATGATTAGGCCACTATATAAGAGGCATGGAAGTTCGATAAATGGACAACAATAATCAGTACAAACGCCTTGTTTTTAACTATTGTTTAATAAATATGAATAATTCGAGCACATAAACTTTCATATGGAGGATTAAATAAGATTGAATTTATGTAGTAAGATTTCATAACTAATCACTGCCACAACCAGGTTTTACGTTTTTTAAGCGTCAAATAACAATGACTCTGAATTTTATTCATATTTGTCAATAATATAGTCTACTCCAAATGTCATGCTAATGAAGCGACTTGAACTTGATACAGTGTGCGAGAGAGACCGAGTGTGTCCAACAACGCACACAACAGTGCGCACGGGTTTGAACACATTGAACCACCGTGACTTAAAGGCTCTCTAAGCGATCCTGGGTGACATCACTTCTTGTTGACGTTCGAACTATTGTCAAACAAAACGGAGGCTAGCTAGACCCTCCCTCCTCCTCATCCGCACACTAACCCCCCAAACCCCGCCCCCAAACCCTTCTTGTCGGTCATTGGCTGGAACAGTTTGTTATGTTTCGGGGAGCGGGTCGCCGCAGTTTGCTTTTGTTGCTGTTTGTGGAGCCTGGGCTGTCTACAGAGATCGCGTTTCTTTACAGTGTGTTCAGGGGACAGGCAGCCAGTGGATAGTGAGGAGATGTTTGCTGTATGTGACAAAAAATGTTTTGGCCTAAAAAACGCGTGACATCGCTTAGAGCACCTTTAAGTAACGTAGCCTACAACGCGAAAATTATTTTAAAAATTCAATATGTTTAAGAAACTTTTTATATTAACTTATATTATTTTGTTGCACTGCAGTAGTTGTCAGTGCAACGATGTACAACGATATTTTACTGGCATAAACGCGTGTGTGATATTGCACGAATGTATTCAGCATAGACGTTTGATATTCAACATATCAATATATTATATTCAGATATAAAGCCTGAATAGTAATTGGCATCATACCTCAAATTTGCTGCTGCGGTATAAAA